AGACGAACCAGCAAGCTATTTCTATAAGATGTTATGCATCTTTTCCTAATCCTGTTTGCTTCTCTTTTTATCCTTGTGTTTGTTTATTATGGCCCTTGATCGCCATCGAATTGGATTGTAACATTATGTGGGTAAAGGTAAATAATTATCTAAACAAAGATGTTTTGGTTTCAAGTTATTTCTTGGTCTTCTATAAAGAATTCCTATTCTCCTTTTTCGTGCTTATGGGTTCATCAATCAATCCCTCTATGGTGACATTAAGTTTGGCAGTTTTTTTTACAGTGTGAGGTGGCACGCTTTTTTACATTTGGCCCCCGTTTGATCTACATTATTATCTCATTTAAAAATCTTAACTTACTTTCTCGAAACTTTTAAGCTTATCCAAACATGCACTAAGACGGGGAGATAAAAATAGCATTTGGAATGGAAGATGAATTTTAAGGAGCACAGTTGGTACAAATGTTTTGATAAATAGTCTTTAAACATTCTTAATGGCTCCTAATCCTTGCACAGTTAATCCAACCTTTTCTTTAAAAGTAAATCTGCTCCGAACATTGGTTTGCACATTTAGTAATTTCCTACATTGCTTTAAAGATTCACTGTTGATAGAATATTGGAAGGATAGATTTTAGGACTTGCTGATTAAATGGAATCAGAATTTTTATTTGCACACCATACTCAAATTGGTTTCATGAAGAATATATAGAATTTAAAAGTTGCACCACATGTGGTTTCTTAATACTTAACCGTCTACACTGGCATCAATCTGACCACTTGTAAATTGTAATAATTATCCCTCTCCATATGAACCATCCGAATGAAGAGTAACAGATGAACAAACCCCACCTATCTGCACTAAAGAGTTGATTATCAATAAAGACAAATAAAGCAAAAGCAAAGTACTTGCTTCTCTTCCCCTGTCATCCCACCTATTTTCGCATCAATCTGTGCACTTCAGCAGATAAACAACTCCAACAGCAAACAAGGCTATCGACATTTAATAGCTTAATAGATATAGATTACTTGCATTAAAGTGAACTCATATCACCAAAAAAGCACATATTTTTGCGATAATTACCAGCTTCTTTTTATATCACGGGATATTAAACTCTAAACAGTTAAGCGAATTATGCCTCAGCTATAAATTATCCGAGCAAGATTTGAGGTCAACCTTAAGCTTAAGCTTCCCATATGACCATCACACACAAATTTATGATACTAACTCAAGTTTTCCACTTACTTTAGTTTAGTCATAACCGATCAAATCCAAATAAATTAAAATATTAAACTCGTATTCAAAAAAATAATTTTTACCGTCAGCTTTTGAAAAGGCGAAGCATCTGTCCCTCATTCTCCAGCACCAGTGATTGAGACAGCGTCAGGAGGTATAGGTGGAGTCTCTTTGGATTCTTCTTGAATCTCAGACAATCAATTATTCCAAATGATATTTTCCCCTTGCTTAACTGTTTGAAAACTATATTCCAAATGAATTCACACTAACTATAGTAACCAACAGGATATCATTAATCATAAGCCTTTCATTTTGATCAGTCATGTCGCAAAAATGAGTCATTTTCATTATTCAGAAATTTTATAATAAGTTTTTTTCATTTAATAACACTTACTCCTAGTAGCACATGCAGAGTGTGTGCCTTGGTCGCAATTGTTGTATCTCCATCTCTTGCCTAGATAGTAGCTTTAACAAAAAGGATCTTTTCATTAATGAAATTATAAAAGGACCAACACAAAGTTTCCAAGAAGAGGAACCATTAACATGTAAAAACACACTACCAATTCAGACAATTTTAATTCAATGCCTGATCCAACAGATTAGACATGTTATGGGGTCCAATAGATTAGTAGTCAACTTGTCTTTCCCCTGATTTTGAAATATGTAAAATAATGCTATTAGCTCATCTATTGAAATATAAAGAAAATCAACTGATGCAAATTTCAACAGAGCTCAAGAACTTGAACATAAAAGTATTAGATTTTCTGTCTAATCCATAAATCGCAATGGATAGTTCATACCTTGCTGTTTGGAAGCACCAGAGGAAATTTTCAAACTCTCTTCAAGTTTTATGTCCTCAAGAGCAGAGAAAGCAGCTAAAGCAGCACATGCTGCCACTTCTGCAACATCTACTCCAACCAAAGTGGAGAGAAAAGCAGTCTGATGAAATGTCATAAACATAATAAATAAATAAATAAATAAAAGAAGGCAAAACTATCAACAATAGGAAGAAAAAAGTAGCTAAGATCAAATGTTGACGACCAAAACAGATACAATGAACTTTAATTGACTGGCTCAAGTCCAACATACGGTGTGCAAGAACAAGGAATATAGGAAAAATACATCCTTCACTTAACTACTTCAGAAATAAATAAATAATAATATATCATAGATAAGACAGTAACCTATTACATCGAAATTGCTATATCACTCAAACTGCGCCCTTTGCATTAAGTTACCCAGAGACCATATTATCTCCATGAGTACCTACTTTTAGGACAGTTGAACACCTCTAATACCTTGCTAAACTCGGTTCCTGAGGGTGGTCCGGGAGACAAAGATCAATAAACCTTGTGTCACATTTATTTTAACCATATAGCTTTTGTATGATAGATACTGTTTTCACAAATATAGGGTTTAATCTTCTCCAAGTTTGACTATGATGGAAGTTAAATAAACCTGCCTCAAGAATAATTTATATTGTACCAATTCTGAGCAAATGTTTACAAACTAAACAGAGTCAAACCCAGAATCATTTATGGCACGTAAATCGAATTATAGATGTAGATTCACAAAAATCATTTTCTAGAAAATGAAGCTCGAAATCTTGAAGATAAAGAAAGCCTGCTGTCAATGGAGGACTGTGATCTGGCTCTTGCTTTTCCATTCTTCTAATACATTACACGTTGTCTTCATATTGCATCAAATGTTCAAGCCATTTGAAGACTTCTGTACCATCATGACAGCTTCAGCTTTAGCCCGCACATTAAAACAGTAACGTATTTCCAAAACTGAAATTAGCTCTAAGGTGAAAGCTCACATAGCATTTCTTCCAAATTAGAAGATTGATTAACAATGTAGAATAAATCATAAACATAATTATCCTCAAGTAAGAAGGAAAATTAACTTACAGCTTATTTCATGCTAAAGAAAATCCCAGGAAACCTTTATAAGTTGATCAAGTACAATTATTGGCACAACACTAATGCTATATTGACATGAAAACAAAATTTATCATTTCCTGCTAAAAAATCCATGCATTTTACGTCACATATTATCATCATCCATTGTCAGTTCTAAACCAACAAAAGGATATGGCACTTTTAGCACTAAACTTTCAGCATTTTGGCACTTCACTCGGTCAATTTGCATGTTTAGTATAAGCGCCTAGACTTTTGACAAAAATTAGTTGCATTTGACACACTAAAACTGACACGATCCCTTTATTTTCTAGATAGGTAAATAAAGTTATGTTACCAAAAAAAAAAGACATTGTATCATACAACTCAAGACATGCTCATAGTAAACGAGCTCTCAAGTAGTGAACATCCAGCAAGATCATAAGATAAAAGTATCGAAAACAAACTTTACAATCCTCCATCGTCCTTGAGCATACGAATCACAAAGCAACTTTTCCAAGACAAATAGACAATTAAACTAATATTGGCTATATAACAAAATCTACATATGTGGGTGGATGCCATTCCACAATTTCAATTTTGAGCACATATTCAGAGAATATTACATGCAACACCTCCTTAAAATTCTTCCCTCAACTTATACTGCAGTTTTCCATGTCATGAGTTGCGCCAAAGCATTCGCCTCATCTGGGTCTACCTACCTTATCCATATAGAATTTTGATTATAAATAAAGGGGGAAAAAAGCCTAGAGACTGGATCTACCTACACAATACAATCATCAAGATTAGGAAGGAATATAAAAATTTACATCTGGAGGAGCTTATTTTAACAATTTAATTTGAAAAAGAAAAAAGCAGAATCTACTTGGCAACTGGTCTGCTAAATTCAGAGAGCAGAACCATAATGGTTGCATCTCTAAATCAATTCATAGTTAATCCAGTTTAAAGTGTTCAGCCATTTAAACTTTAACGAACCTCAGAACGGTATCTTATTCCTCCTTTCATTGGACCTGTCGCATTGTTATGCTGAACCCTGAACCCCACAAATGATGCCAAGGTGCCATCATCTTTCGGTATGGTACATTCAACCTGTGATTTTGACCATAGTAGGTAAGGATCACAATTAAACAAAAAGAAGTAAATATTGTCAAAATGAAAGCACACACGGTACCTCCATCCTGGAAGGAGGTGTCTCACAAAAAAAAAAAAAAATTGTGCACAGAGGCACCTCCATCCAGGATGGAGGCATGAAAGCTGGGCTTGGATGGAGGCACTTCTCCTTGCCTCCATCCTAGGATAAATAGAGGTATTTATCCCAGGATGGAGGCATTTACACAGCAAAAAAGGGAAAAAATAACTTATAATGCCATCACCTCTAAGTTTTGCCAATTAGACGCTGTATCAAAGTTTAGCCAATTAGATAAAATTAAGATAAGACCTCGTGCGACACTTAACTTGCAGTAATCAGTGAATATCACAGAACACTTACAATTACTTCCTTCTCCCTTGGTGCTAGTTCTCCCAGATTAACCTTGCAATAGTTCGTTCTTTACCCACAACTGTGCCATCTAGAACAAAAATCCAGCCCTTGCGCCATTGAGTAGGTGTTGAAGATGCCTCTGTCATGGAATCAAGATTAACATTTATACAATAAATACAACATACATATATCTGTTTCTACGTGTATCAAGTTGTAAAAACAATAATAAATGAAGGATAAATATATCTTGATAGAAGTGAGAGCTAACAAAAATACTAAATTGCAATATCAAAAATAGGAATGATGACTAATTTGTACCCAATGCTAGGCCAAATATGACATTGGTTGTAGCACCAGTTCTGCAAGAATCAGCAACATCTTGCACAGGGCTGGATGGCAAAAATGAATACGATAGAAGAAATCAGATTCTAGCAAGAAAACTGATGCTATAAAAAGAACGTAGGGATCAAATGACATTGTTACGTGAAGACATAAAAATGGTTAGGTTCACCTGTAAGCGTTACTGGTATAATACTCAAGTTACAAAATCGATAATAAGTCCAGCCCAAAGCCCGACACACACAAGAACAACTGCCTGTAAAGCCACAATGCATAAAGGTACCCAAAAAATTAGAGTACTGTGGACTATACATTAATGATGCTTTATTGAATGAAATATATGCATAAGCAATATGGGAACAAAACTTAAGAACGAAACTTAAGAAACACTATGAGAGATAAAACCCAACAATCCCAGAAAACATGTTTGAGCCTATATTAAAATTGAAACACAAAAAAACAATAGAACAATGAGCCAATGGAACACAAAAAAACAATAGAACAATAAAGCAAAAGCAATATATACAAAACAAGAAGAGAACCACTTCTCAATTGCCCAAAAAAAAAACAAAAAAACAAAATCGGGATTACCAAAGGATGTAGAGGATTTTCAACCCACAATTTTGTCAACCCACAACCACAACAGAAAAGCAAATAGAAATTTAATAACTAATTTCAACATATAGGTTTTTAACGGTAAAAAGAATTTAGGCAATCCATGATGAGCCCAAAAAAAAAAAAAAAATCCACCAAAAAAGAAATGTAGAAACAAATCAGGGAAAACCAAAACAATCCATTTTCAGTTATAGGAAACAAAACTCACAAAGAAATATAATTGAATCATAAATTTATCAAAAATATTTGTACTGCCAAATAATTTATATAGAGATCAAAAATTTCAGAAAGAGATGAAATTGTTTGCGAATGTGTACCTGAATTGCAATATAAAAATGCTTCCAAGAGTAGCAAACATTACTTCTGAGCCTGAGGGCAAAGTTACAAAAATAGTGTCATTTTAATGCGGTGAACTAATTGTAATGGAGAAAGCAACAACTACACAAAGCAAAAAATAGGCAAAACATGCTCGGCACATTATGGATGCATTTAGTGAGACATGATAGTAATCAAATAAGTCATGAATGACTTACATCAGCATAGAGGAAAAACTTTCTCATGTTGTGTCAATTACATATAGTTCGGCTATAGCCTGGCATGATGAAATTTTTAAACAATGAAAGAAAATATTTAGCTTGATAATGTACCAGAATCAAATTTTACTATCATATATATGGTATTAAACCAGGAAATAAGCCTAAAAGTGCCCCATTTGTTTCTAGCAACATCAACAAATTTGATGCATAATAAAAAACATATACATTATATATAAATCTAAACAAATTAAGAAAAATGAAACGTAGTTAAATTTGCAGTAGAGAACTTCTACTGGTCCTGAAATGAAGTGAAGAAGTATTCCATCGTGAATTAAAAATTACTCATATATTTAAGAAAATGAATTATAAAGTACAACAATATATGAAAAGGGGAGAATTAAGAAAAAAAAAATTATGGAAAAAAATACATCAACTTCAAATAGTTTACCTTTATCCATCATTTTCAAAAGGAGAACCCAAACGGGGGTTTTGAACAGCAATAACATTCTTCTTGCTCAAATTCGTCAGCCACTCAAAAAACCAATAATTACAACTCTTCTCGAGCTAAAGTTTGGAGAAGAAGCACACGAGAGTGAGAGTTGAGAGGTTTTTACATTTGAAGCCCTAAATGAAAAAAATATATTTAAGATAAAAAGATGAACTGAAAGCTGTTGTACACGTGCGAGTTTGTATGAGAGAAAGGAAAAGATAGCTGGTGTGTAATGTGAGACTTTTTTCTTCGCATAATTATTTACAATTAACAACAAGAAGTAATTTTTTATATAGTCTCAGAAAATCAATTTCATAGAAAAAGCAGATTGTCAAATGGCAGTTACACAGACAAAATTACTTCCTCGTTGGTGTATGAAATACGATCAGTGAGATACCAGTTTCCCGTCGAAAGAGAGACATCATTGCCAACAGAACCCATGTATCTAAAGAACCCATATTTGCATCAACCAATCAATAAAAAACATAGCATCTTTCTATCAAAAAATCACACCATTTTCCAAATAGGCAAATTCATATAATTGTACAAAGAAATCAAAAGGCACCTTAAAGAGGAATTACAGGTTTATTAGGAGAGACAAGGAAACAGAGTCAAGACAAATATTCAGAAAATCTAGAAGCACGAGAGGAACTAATGATATTCAATGGCTCAATTAGGTACACACATCGACTCAAACATGTATGCATCTTAGGATGTGTTAAGGAGAAAATAAATTCATGCAGACATTTGAGGTATCAACTAATTTGCTCGACAGGTGAAAACTCATTCGTTCAGCAAACAAGCTCTCATTTTTGTTCGTCTTAAATAAAGCAAGTTGGAACTCTTCCTGAAAATAAAGAAAGCTGAAAATACCAAATGAAGAATCAGTAATTGAACCAGAGACAAAGATAATAATGACAGGGAAAGCATAATTTAGAATACTGATATGTGGATGCAAAGAAACAAAGTATCTAACTTAAAAAACTCACCTAATAGCCATGACTCGCTTCCAAGTACCGGTTTGCTCATCAAATGCAAGTTTGTCTTTCTTGCTTTTTCAGTACCTATATGATATTTCAAATTGATACAATGACAAAATCAAAATGGCAAGCCTTGGAAGCATTGACTTGATGCATAACCAAGGAAAAAAAGCATTATTTAAAGAGATTAAAAATTTCAGAAAGAGATGAAATTGTTTCTAAATGTGTACCTGAATTGCAGTATAAAAAAGTTTCCAAGAGTAGCAAACATTGTTTATGAGCCTGAGGGCAAAGTTACAGAAACTAGTGGCATTTTAGTGCGGCGAGCTAATTGTAATAGAGAAAGTAACAAGTACACAAAGCAAAAAATAGTCAAAACATCATTGACACATTATGGATGCATTTAGTGAGACTTGATAGTAATCAAATAAGTCATGAATGACTTACATCAGCATAGAGGCAAAAGCTTCTCATGTTGTCTGTTAATCACATATAGTTTTGCTATAGCCTGATATAATGACGTTTTTAAACAATGAAAGAAAATATTCAGCTTGATAATGTAACAGAATCAAATTTTACAATCATATGTATGGTATTAAAATAGGGGATAAGCCTAAAAGTTCCCCATTTGTTTCTAGCAACATTAACAAATTTGATACATAATTAAAAACATATACATTATATAAATCTAAACAGATGAGAAGAGTGAAAACCAATAAAGAGAATTTGATTATACTGAGTCATCAAAGATAATGTAACAGAATCAAATGTATATGCATAATAAAAAACATAAACATTATATATATATACATTAAGATGAGAATTAACTGGAGCACTACATGAGAAGAGTACATCCAATACTTTACAACTATGTCAAAAGTAGTCAGATGAAAATACACAGCCCAAAAATAACTCTCAAATTCTAACAATACCCTACTAAACTGAAGAAAATGTAAACTTAAAACAAAAAACTGTAAATTCTACATACCTACATTGCCTAGTCTCCTATTTTGGTTGCAGTTTTTTGGATCTTTTTTCACACCTGAAGAAAAGTTGCAAATGAGAAAGTGAAAAAGGAAAAAAAAAATACTAACTGTAAATGCAAAAAAAAGGTAATATGCAGAGAAGGAGATCAAAATGAAGCTTGAGAAAGCAAAATGGAGATGTGACTTACAATTTATTGGATGATTCTGCGAAATTTATATCGAATGGTTCTCTTTCAATGGGGGGGGAAAAAAAACCTTTGTGCGCGCATGAAGGTGTCCGTGAGCACCTCTGTGAAGAAAGAAAAGAAAAACCCTTCATGCTTCGTGTGTCCGTCTGCACCTCCGCGCGCGCACGGAAGTGCCTCTATGAGGCACGAATGTCTCACGGAGCACAGACGGAAGTGCCTCCATGCGATACGCCCACTTACTGTTCTGTTGCACTAAATCCAGGTCTCGAAGATACACTATAACTACAACCATCTACAATAAAATGAGTTGCCAAATTGTGTTTCAAGAATGAGATGTCAAAATAGCTTCTGAAGTAAATTCGTTTTAATATAACCAACTAAACTGCTAAAACCTACAAACTTACCCCTTTCAAGTTCAAAATCATCCCCATCTCCAACATTGTCCGTGGAACCTAAACATTTAGCATCGATTAACTGGGGATCACTGTACTCTTGAGATGGACATATCTTTTTATAATAGATAAAAAAAGCAAAAAGAAAGAATAATATCTCCAATAGAACACGCTCAGCTATTAACATTGCAACACATCTAGATTTCCTCTTTCTCATTTCATACGCTGCAATTCACATTAGATCATTAACAAAACAAAAATTAATAAAGCCAAAGACAAAATCTTTATAGAAGCTACTGAAGACAAAAGTATGATATCCTTGTATAAAAGAAAACCAGCATCTTCTTCCCCTCTTTTAACATACAGGGGATCAAGGGACGAAAAATAGAGAATCTCATAGTAGTCATAGCATAGTTTCTTCAGTTGTTTAACTATAAATATACAAAGATAAATAATTTTAATTTTTCAAAAGGGAGGAGCATGTTCCCTAGGCAAGAATTGCAACGTCACTTCTCCCACCTTTCATCAAAGTCAAAGCATTAGCTACCATGATGCCTTTATTTTTCTCCACAATTTTTCCTTGCTGGAAAAATCTTATTGCAATTTCTTTAAAATTCTTCATTTAAGAAATTTGTAAAATGGATTATAAAAAAGAGACAATTTTAGCAAGGCAATTTGAAGAAACAATACTAAAAATGACTATAATTTTATAAAAAAAATGAGCAAACACAAGAAATTGACAAATCTACGCAGTTAAATACCAATAACCTGTACCAAATAATTGATAAACTAACATATGCTCCACATCGATTAAAGGAAAGCAGAAAGAGCCACTGGAAAAAGAACTAAAAAGGCCAAGTGTTAGATTTTTCGTAGTGCAATGCGTGCAGGGATCGCACAAGAAGTTTCAAAAGTAAGATGGCTGTATGAATGCCGCCAAATTATTTGAAGACAGAAATTAATCACAAAGTTGTAGCAGAAACACACTACACAATTTTTAATCCAAGATAAACATTAACTAAATTAGTTATCTATTAGAAAACCAATTCTAAAATACTCCAGATTGATTGGCCGAATTTCCTACGAAATTTGGAGGAGAAGACGATGATTGAAAATGGTAAACAGAGGCAGAAGTGGTGTAAAGTATAGTAGGAAAAAGCAGTTAATAAAACGGCTTCGTGTTGGTTGACGATTCAAATTCTTGATATCTAGCGTGCATCCCCAACTGGCTCTTTTAGTTTGTTAAGGAGAAATTGCTGTGCTTGAAGTACTTAGGGAGAAGAATGGTGGAGAATTGGTGAGAGTCCCACACAATAAAACTGTTCCTACTCCTGCTCCAAGAAATCACTGCATCTGTTGAAGAATCCTCCACAAGCGGACAAAATCAGGAGCAATTAGGGCGGACAGCTTCAGCCGAGAAATCTAGGGAATGAAAACAAATGGGGAAACGCTTAAACTACGTAGTTTTGGTTGACGATTGGAGAAGCCGACATCTGTCCAAGGAAAAACTGGCTCTTTTAGTATAGTTAGGATAGGATAGGATTAGGATATAATTCAACACACGGTTCTTGAATACATACAAAATTTATAAACTCTATATATATCTTGTTATTCATCAAGTCAAGACAAAAGAAAATTTCGTTTTTCAAGTTCAACAAATTTCAGATTTTTAATTTAGGTAAGATACGTAAGTACAGAGGTTAAATTTTTATTTTTCATGATATTTATATATTGATCTCATTTAATTCTTTAAGACCGCAAGGTCGATCTCTGTGTTAAATCAAATTCTTCCAAAATAATGTGGCTCAAACACACCCTAAATATAGAACTGAATCACCATCATTTATATGGCATTTCAATATTGGAGATTTTAAAGTGAACAATGCAACTAGGAGACCAGCATATTGTGAAAACAATGCTTATTACATGGTACTTGTGGTTAGAGAGAAATCAAGCCAAACACTCAAATATCAAGCCCTCATTTGGTGCACATTTTTGGAAAAAGAATGCATTTTTACTGTTGATGTGATGGGGATATGTGGTTGAAAAAGAAGGAAAAGTTATTGATGTGATAGAAAATATTATTTTATTGAAGAATGTGTAGTTAAAAATGAATAGAAGAATGAAAATAAAAAAAATAATGTATTTCAAACATGGCCTAAAATGCAGACCTAAAAATGCAGACAGGTTGTGATGACGTCATTGGGAGACATTTGTTTAGGATAGCAATGATCATGTTCCTAGATAACAGCAGCAGTGGATGAACTCCGAGGCCATCCTCTTTGAATTAGGCAATATCTTTTATTAGCTCTCCTTAATTTGTGGTGTGTCTGAAACGGTTGTTAGTTCAGAGGCCAAGAAAGCTAAAACCCTTTGTGGTTAAGACTATAGATGTAACTTTGTTAACTATTTGATTAGTTGCTCCTTTTTGTTTCTCAGGTTGATTGT